AAGGACCTGAAAGATCGATGCCCAAACAAAGTCAAAAGTGTGTTCAAGTCCGACGGAAATTATTACAGCCCTTTGCGCAAAGGTTGGCACATATTTCGCAGGTTGTAGATATAGGAAGATAAAACCGGCGAACGTAGATGGCGGCTTCACCCATCAGTCGATGTTTTGGACATTCTACGAGAGAGGTTGAGAGGTGTTTCGAGGGGCGATCGTAGGTAACTGTGGCCCTGGAGATGTTTGATGTGGATTTGGAGGTGTTTGGAGTGGATTCGGAGATGTTTAGGGTGGACTCGGAGGCGTTTGAAGCGGGTTTACTGCCGCTCGTATTTCCTACCCTCACTCAACCCTTCTTGATTTACTTTTTTATATATCTCATCTTCCTAACTTGTGCCTTCCTTCTCGCAAAGGGCTGTAAATCACAAGCTACTGAGAGTTTCGCTATCCAGCTATACATAGGATAAAGCTCACTCGTACGAGATGAGTGATACTAACCTCGCGTAGACGCGTGAACAATGATCGTCTCGAAGGCCTGGGCCTCGTTCGTACACTTCAAACGCCGTTGTATCAGCATCTACTCATTCAGCACGGAAGATCTGTCATGGTGGACAAGAAGAGTAAAGTTCATTATTCCTCGGCGATAACGGACAAACTGCGCCGTGTCTAAGCGAGAATGTCGCACGGCTTCCTCTTTTACCCTCATCTTCCGCAACACAACGTCGAGTACTTAGCACAAATAGCTCTACGCAAGCCTCTCTTTCAGTCCTCTATTTGTCGTCAGTCTCTCTTTCTATTCGCTGATTTCAACTCAACAACCAAGAGCAGAGCAACAGATTACTCGGACAGAGGCAAGGACAAGGGGGTGTCAATTTCTTGTTAAGCGTACGAGGTCGAATTGTTTTCCAAGCCCAGGTCGGGCGACCCTCCCCCTCCATCCAAATGGTAATGGGCACGTGAAACACATGCCAAATAAGTTTAATTGTACTTTTCCCGGAAATAGTGGTGGCTGGTGGTCGGTTTCTGGCTACAACATAAATGGAGTGTGTTTGCCTTGTCTTCAGGGGGTTCAGCACGCCAAGATGACCATCATGAGACCTCAAAGAGGCCTCAGACCCCTCATAACCTGATATTTTGGGTCGGTCTTGGTAGGTACAAAAAACCTTTTAAGGGCCTTCCCCCCCCTCCCCCTTACCTTGGACCGGAAAGTCCATTCCCATCACCCCCTTGGGCAAGGACGTAGTAGGGAGACTATCGTGGAGAATAGTTAGTGATTTACTGTTTCCAAGAAACAGGTATGGTATTTCCCCCGCTTTTCTTGTGCGTAGCGTCTCGTTCCCAGCTACACAGTGCTATTCTTCAACTTATGTTTTGATTTTCACTACATTTACTTCGTTCGACTACCGTGAATCTCCCGCAAAGTCTCGCCGAATTCCACAGGCGGATCTAAAACACACAAAACCCACCCTTTTTCTACGCGAAGGACAGGCCAGTTCTGGGATCGCGTCTATCAGTGAGCCGGATATGCGTGCTCGAATTTTCTGCCCTTTGAATCGCTCCTTCATCATGCAGGGAGAGTACCAAACCAAATGCAGTAACCACTCTTACATGCGGCGAACTCCAAGCGCTCGGCTAGTTTCCGAGTTGCTCAGTGACTTGGCTGATTTTCTCCGTCCCTTCACTAGCGCTATTCGTTTCGGCGAGTGTTCAAGCGTTTAAGCTCCATATGGCCGGACCAACTTGAAACCTACGCTTAGCCAATACAGTCGGATTCCGAGTCAACTATTGTTCCGGAAAGGGGCCTCTCTGGTACGTTCGTCTGCCTTTCCACCTATTCGTTCCTTCCTGCTTTGTCTATGCCACCTATTCCCTTGGCTCGGCGAGCTGCCACTCACTCCGTTAGCTTTGGCTTATTGTCCTATTTGAAAGGGAAGACCCAGCCCAATGAAGTAAGGTAGTGATCTTATCGTCAAGCTACTGTCCGGATAATAGAAGACCGGACGGCCGCGCTCTGGGTTTGGGGGGAACAGGGATCGTGTATGATTTCATAATTCAACGCGACGAAGATGAAAAACTGTACAAAGAAACAACCTATCAAGTGACGAGATAGTAATATGAGTTACATTTCAAAGAGCCAGGGCCGTGAGGATGTTTAGCGGGATGTTGACTATAGGCTTCACACTCCCTTCTGTGCATCAAAGTCTGAGTCAGTCGTACGAGACTGTATGTCTACGGGGGTGATGAGACTTTGAGGTCGACGGATATCTATGACGCTGCGAGATGCAGGCCGTTGCAACTGGGTTGGCTCGATCCTCCACCTGATTGTCTCTTTCAATGATTGTTCATCGTGAACAGCGATCCCGAGGGTCACTCGCACGATGATGAGGGAAGATGCAATCCCCTTTGAAAGTCAGACCGCAAATTGAAGAGTTGGTTTATGGCTAGGATTACACACCATGATGGGTATGAGCGATTCAAAGACAGTCCCCCCAACTAACTCGATAGCGTAACTTCCGGACTCCATACCATGACTCCGTATGTCTCGTAGTACACAAACAGTGTAGATGAGAAGGACCGCAGGGTATATGAGTCCTGATTCTAGCCTGTTGGAGTAAGAGTGAATATGAGCTCGACTTCAAAGCGAAACATATAGTTTCCTACGTCGCTGAGACAATAGTTCTGTATGTTGTTGGGAAAGATCTGTCCGAAGGGAGGTATTTCCTGACTCGGTAGCCAATGTAAAGAATCCTCCCTGCTGTATTTTTTGTGTATGAAAGACGATTGTGCTTCGGGGGCTTGAGTCTGCTTACCAATTAACATAGTCAGTATAAGATTGCCAACAAGGGCACAAATGGCAAAGTTTGCCAAATAAATGCTCTGAACACTCGAAAGCAAGAATGTGACATCGTAGCCTTCCCACTTCCACTGGAATATCATTACGAGAGCATACACTGGGGTGGCTTTAGATGAGTATCGGGACTCAAATGCAATATGCGGACTCACCATTGGTCCCAAGTGCTATCAAGCACGGGACGATTGGTATTATCCTTCTACGTCCCCATACGAGATAGCATCGATATACCTATGAATAATCACAATAGAGCCTCGAGTGATCCCGAGCAGGTTGAGCTCACCAGAAGAACATCTGCGAGGAAACTAGATTGGGAGTCCATAAAGCGTTGAGCGAAGCCAATCATACCAAGGATTCAGCGGAAGGTCTCACTTCGCCAAGATCGTAACAACCTGGGTCCCAAGCCTGCAACGCCAGAGTGGGAAGCTAACAAATTTCAGTCGAAAAGTGAAGAAAGCTACAAATATGACACACCTTGGTTGGATCATTGCTTGCAGTTCATTGATCACCCTGTCACGGAGCTGCTGTTCGGATGCTGCAATTGTGTCACCATATTCTCTGGAGGATTCAAAAACCATGAAAGTGTAATAATACAGTTCATATTGTCCTTGTAAAGCATAAAAGCCAGCCTTGAGCCCAACCTCGACCGTAGCAACAACGTAGAGTGCTGTGATCAGAACAATATTTACACGGGATTGGTCTCGTTTGCGTGTGAGGAGGATGTACATGCACGCGATGTAGAGGACCGTGTATACACCTGCAGAACGTCATCTTGTCAGTAAGATACAACTACTCGGGAGATCAGTTTCCAAGAGTATATTCACTGACCATAGAGAAACAATCCAACCTGAACTTTATATTGGTCAATGCACTCGACAAAGGTGTTTTCGATGACTTACGCCAGTCCTAACTTGTGGGGTTGTGACGAGTCCCAGACAAATTGCATTGTAATACATGTCATCGCCGAGGGGGCACTTCATCGTGAAAGGAAACACTCAGAATGGTGTCGGTGGGGAGTAATTAGTAAATCACCACTCACAGGTTTGGCTTATAGCAAATGTTTTGCAGTCTCGTTCGCACACTCCCGTTGATCAACAATGTCCACCATCATTGATGGTTTGGGGATGTTCTAACATTATAACAATCCTTATGATTACTTTTGGGGTTCCCACTGCCACCGGGGCTCAGTAGTCGCCACTGCCGACCTCCGATGTTTCTGAACGAGCACAATGAAAGTTGAAAACCACAAGTAATAGCTATATTGGCAATGGCCACGAACAGGCAAGCAGCTAACCGCTTCCTTCCAACCTTTCAAGTCCTACAGCCTTTCATTCGCACCTTTGCGTTGAACAAGATTGTTCAGAGGGACATTCTCAATCAAGAACCACCGCCTTGAGAGGTTCTGGTTGATCATGATCGCTCTGTGTTGGTGTTGTTCTTCAGAAGTAGACATCATTTTGGAATCATAACAGCATTAGCTGTTATCGGATCCGAAAGCTCGCAGAGAACCATCGGATGACCTGCTGTACTTTTGAGTATGTCGATATTTCCCACCATCAGTGCACATTCGTTGCTCTGAACATAGCAATGACGAGCTACAACTCATTCAATAGAAGGACCAACCGTTCCAGAACGGAACCGTGAGCGACGGAAGCCCGAATTTCCATCGCAAAGTGTCCGTCAGACAGGGAACGCCGCGAAAACGAACACAAACTGGCATACGGTACTTAAAGGAAACCGCTGTAAAGTAGGAAGGGGCCCTTGCCAACGGCAGCCAATCTCGCAGTTTGTTCGAGGGGGCCAAAGGAACTCTGATGCTTACAATGATGAATCACACAGGCAGTACAAGATCGTCAGGGTGATGATGATATTGGGGTTCCACAGCTTGCCGGCATCGGAACTAGTTCCACTCACAACGGAAGCTTTGATTGTAACAGCTCGCCAAATTCTGTCATGGAGGACCCCTCGTCAATTATCGCAGTGGAGCCCGGGGGTTCGGATGTATGCTCGTTGTCGTTGGGGCGCTTCGATGTCTTGACCTCGTCGGAGATGGGAGGGAGAGATATCTGATCCATTATTCGGGATGGTGTGTGTTTTATCCATCACGCATGCGTTGTTAACAAAGCCCTCTCGTCACGAGCAGCCGATCGCTACCGGCCTAATGGTCTAGTAGTATGATTCTCGCTTTGGGTCATATTTATAAAGGTTTCTACTCTTCTGCGAGAGGTCCTGGGTACAATTCCCAGTTGGTCCCCACCTGTTGTTTTGCTCAAACTCCGGCCGTTTTTCCGATTTTTTTTTTTTGGTGTTTGGCATATCGAATTCCCGTCACGTAGCTATGTTTCACAAATACGAGGCTCTATGTTTACCACCAACGCCGACAAAGACCAACAATGTCTTGTAATTTAACATTTATCTCTCCTCACGGGCCCGTCAGAGGTGACGCGAGCCCTTCACGTACTGGGAACTAAATATTAATTGAACGATGATTATATTGTGTGAGCTCAAGTTACCTTCCAACTATCACCACGGTCCAGAGGCAAGCGATTCATGTGTATGTATCTTTCCCTGTATCTTTTTCTGATTTTTACGTCTGTTTAGAATTTGAAGTATGAGAAGGTGAATCGGATTACACGCCAGTGAGAACTAAGTCCTAATCAGATCTAGATGACTTTCCCTACGAGCCGGCTTTCAGAGTTAATGCAGTATTGCATTTCGTCTCTTTCGTGTTTTTCGACGGCAGATAGGGCTATCGAATCTACTCCATGGCCACCTTCCCTTCAAAATTGGGGCAAAACCCTTGAGGCTCCTTAGGCCCTCTACCTTAAGTTTTCACCCTCAAGTATGTCACTCAAGTAGTAGAACTCAAAATCAGATTCAACTTGAGTAACAACTTCACAAATATCTGAAGGATGTCACGAAGTGCTGAGCGTCTGGCAGAGACGACGGAGGCAGAGAGCGGTGGTAGCAGGCGTGGAGAGGAGCAGCGGGCTCGACTCAGACAGAGATAAGGCAGAAACTGGTCCCAACGACAAGTTAGATCTATTGTAGAGGAGGAAAGCGAAGGAGACTATACTACTCACCTGGTCCCAACGACAAGAGGTCAAGATGAGGGACCAGGTGAAGACTAGCTAGCTTATATACCTATCCTACAGTCAGAGCTGGAGTCGGAGTGGCTACCTATGAGTCGTGTATGAGTAAGTATGAGTCAAGGATGAATAAGGAATGAGTCGGTATGAGATAATGGGATGGCTGCGCGATGTGGGTTAAGGCTGCGCGATGGTGGGTTAAGAAAGGGAATCGTGAGAAATAAGGATGTATAGTAAGTGACCGTGAGAAAAGGACATGTGATAATCATGTGAGCAAATGGTGGAGGGAAAAGTGGCGTCTTCATGACAAAGGAACAACTTGAGGATATCTTAAGAATAGCTTGAGTGAAACTTGAGATTTACTCTGTACTAATGTAGGTAGGGAACTTGAGTGAAAATTGAGTAGGGAATAAATAGCCTTGAGAGAAGAAGTCAGACTTGACCGAACATAAAGTATGGACTTGAGCAAAGGGGAAAATGAACTTGAGTGAAGGAAAATGTGGGCTTGAGTGAATGATAAAGAAACTTGAGAGTATGAACATGAGTAAAGGAAAGTATGAACTTGAGCAAGTGTGGGCAAAAAATTGCTCAAGGCGAGCGTATATGTGAAAAAAAAACTGGGCTACATGTTCCTCTGCTTGATATCTCACCCTGATACTTTCTCCTGGTTGCCTTTGTTGCCCGTACGCTTGCGACCCATGATCCATTGAAATGGAATACCGCAGTCAATGCCACAGGGGAGCGAGCGTGAAGGACACTGTGGGCAACGTGTATATGCTGGAAGGAAGATGTAAAGGGAGGATTTTTCTGAAGATTGGGAGGTCTGTAAACACTGACAGATGATTCGAGCAACACTGGAAGACTTGCAAGCACATGCTATGGACAAGAATTGGCTCTTGGCCAACACTGAACTGCCACAAAGTGGGTATGTGTCTCAATCACATCAGGAAAACGGGGTCTGGCACTGGGGCAACCTGGGAAAGTGACCACTGGGCCGAATTCCCCGGTGACTCTGGGGATTTCAAGTTGTCCCAGGTTGCTCTAAGCCAGTGCAAGTCACCAGGTTCACCTGGATGAACCTGGAACGACTCTGAAAGTTAGTAGTCTCAACTTATTCCTAGGACAGGTGAGAACACTTGAAAGACCCCGTGGACTTTGAAGCTTACATACAGATCTAACCCTATAAATCCTCGGGACCCTGACATTAGTGAAATTGGGAGATCATAATATGTGTTAGAGTATGTCAGATGGACCAAGTACAAATAAGTGCTCACTGCCGGTTGTGGATTATGTCTAAGTAGATAATTTTTGACATCTAATTATACACTAATGGTTAAAAAATCAAAGAGCAATCATTAACTGTTACAAATCCACCTATTGTTTTCCCTTCCCTTGGTCCCTGGGTACTTTTTCCCCATGTTTTTCTCTTTATTTCCCATGGTTACATGTTCTCACCATCGCATTCTGGCCGCCATATCATTACCTGGTACTACCTGGTGTTCCACACTGTTTCCAGATATTTTCCCAGCATACCATATGGTTTCCATCATGACAATGTTTCCACACGTATCCCTTGATTCTTATCACTTGTTCTTTCATTTTTCCCCTTTTACCTTTGTTCCCATGATATCTCTACAGCTTGGCTCTGTCATATATAATCATGGATAGTTCTAGATAGTTCCCCAGTCTGACAACTTTGTCTCATAGTGCTTGTTTCCAGCATGTACTATCATACACTTGCCTTACTCAATTCTATCCTCTATCCTTTGCACTCTTGACCCTGTTGGTGGCCTGAGGGGTTTTCCTAGTCACTGGCCTTGTTCTTGACATTAACTATCTACACCCTCACCAGCTGTATGCACAAAAACCTTCTATGGATATTGACAACCAGTTAGTGGTTGTGCAACCCGTTCGGGGCCGTTTCATGTTTCTCCATTGAGTCCATTCCCACACTGATTTATGCTGTTGTCCCTGCTTCTCTGTGCCATCGTCTATTTGAGAGCGCTCACGCACTTGATCCAAAATTGAGGTGTTGACGACATGGTCAGGATACTTGAGGAAGCTGTAACATAGATATAGAGCCGGTGTACGTATTGTCCTGTCCACATCAGATAGCGTGGGAAGAGACATCCATCAACTGAGCAGTTGCAATCGGCAAACTCCAAAGCCACATTTTCTGATCAACAAATGACGAGTTATTCTATCTCGTCACTCATGAACTCTTCCTCTCACTGCCTTCCATCCCAATGGCTTCCCACCGTCGACTCTTTGTCTGCGGTGTTCTGCTGGAGTCCAGACTAGAGGTACGTGTTTTCATATATTTCACCCGTTCTTTCTGGTCCTCTGCTTATCATTGGTCAACCAATCAACCTTGGGCTTCTAGATGCTGAGCTGAGCTATACAGTTTGCGTATAATTGCACACATCTCTACCAATTACACTTGTACCTGGCAGGCTCTCACTACAAAGTACCGGGTTAGTCTGCCTACATTAATTCACCCAAACACTAGCTAATATGGCCTTTTCTATTCACTCTCACTTCCTTCATCATTCTTTCAGGACCCAACAGGAGGTGTCAGCAAGTTGTCTTGCAAGCTCGGGGGAGGTTTTCGCTGATGACTGACTGATAGCCACACACAATCTCGGTGAGAGACCTCTTGTCCGCTCTCATAGTTCCATTATAACTCACTTCCATTCACAGGGACTGACTGTTTTATGATTGTGAGGTTGTGCGAGCTGATGAGCAGTAGTAGTGAGATCAGGGATGGCCGGTGGATTTGATCTTGAGAGCGTGTGGAGCCAACATTATTATTATTCTCTGATAACACCATGTACCCCCCATGACACAATATGTATTAAGGTATACCTCTTCACCTGTAGTAGATATACATGAAATATAGCCCATTCAATGTTTTGATCTCCATCTCACTTTATCCACTACTGAAACGAGCGTGATTGACAGCTTGCACTCAAAGGACCTATGAGAGCCTACGCCAACCTATGCTAACTCAGGCTAGCAAAGAGGTTGATTGCGGGCTCCAAAAAGATGCCTAAGGTTGGCTCAGGTTGATCCCAGGACAACTTAGGCTCATGGATGTGGGAACCTATCTCCTGGGACAACCCGGCTAACCTGATGTCTTTGCATCCCTAGGATAACCCAGGGAGCCCAGGTTGTCCCAGCGCCAGGACCCTTTTTCCTGATGCAACTCTGTGTTTCATTCTAATTCATGATTCTAGAGTTGTGCGTGCACCTCAAAATGGAATGTTCAGGGTTTACGAGGGTAGTGATGGTGTGTTGTTGTAAGTTGGCTCTTTTTGACTCATTACTCTTTTCTCATTGTTGGACAGGCAGGACGGAACATGAGGAGTGGTTTGAGTACAAGGGAACGGTGCTCTCACAAGCAAAAAATCTCACAAAATGTATTATTCTGAAGCATTGTAATGTATGAAGTAGTATTCTCCTCTCCTGATCCATGGCTCACCCCAACATAGAGTACAACAGAAAAAAAAGCAAAATACATAGGATACGCACTCGCCGCTGGGTCTTCACAGGGTACCTATAGGTGCGTTCCCCCTTTATTCTTTGTATGTGCCCTAATAGCTTTCCTTCACAGTCTCATCAATGATCTCGCGGCCTCACCCACAGAACCTTTCAAGTGAGCACTCTGTCCCTTTTTGCCTTGCTCATCACTCACACTCACATTCTCTGTCTTCCAGTATCATTCAACATCTCATTGTATTCTACACATACTTATCTAATGCACATGTTTTGAGTATGTTCACTCTTTATGCAACTTGAGTTGAGACGCGGCCATCCTCAACAACAACTTGAGCTACCCTCAACACAAGGATTTGAGTTACTCTCAAGTCATCCTTGAGGCACTCCACCTCGTTCCCTCAAGACCGACCTCAAGGATGACTTGAGGTCGCTTCCTATTCCCTCAGGACAAAACTCGTCTCGTTACTCAAGTTTTACTTGCGTACATCGGACAAGGGAAGTAAGCTAAGGTAAGTAAACTTAAGTTTTTTGTACTGTTTTTGAGGAAACCTAGCCTCAATTTCCATCGAATACCTTTGCAAACATGGCCCTCCTCCCTTGGCTAACGTCGACATTACTTATCAGGGCAAACGAGTCGAGAGTGCCTGCTTATCTTCCTGCTACATGT